GTCAAAAAAATTACGTTCAAATGTTGAATGTCATATTGACGTGCAAGTTGGGTCATGGATGGACGTTCAAATTGTGGACCTAGTTTGGACGTTGTATTGATTTCCAGAATTGGTCATGGACTGACGGACCTAATATAGACATGATCTGCACGCCTATCCGACGTCCAATGTTTAGTGGGAACTTAGCATTAGTGCCCATCATTTCTCCAGGTGTATGGGTAGGAAGGCAGGCCATTCTGCTTAGTTTAGTTGGAAATATATCAAATTAACTCAAATAAAAAAGTGGCATTGTTCTTTAACCTGCATGAACCGAAAGGCGATGGCGTGTCAATCTCAGAAGGAGGCACTAAACCGAATAGCACCACAGCCACCCCCCCCCCCTTAAATCTGCCAATGCATCAGTCCTCTGAGAGAGCCGTCCATTTTCACTGAGCATCTGCTCTGTGCCACAAGGCTAATAACAGCCGAAACCTACAGCAGGACATCCATTGTCATCACTGCAATCAATCACTCAGCCATCAATAAGTACAGTGCAAACAATCTGAAATCACAGCACCTTATTAATAATTAAGGATGAACACAGTTGTGTAATAGATTTTGATGTTTCATTATTTTCCCTGTTATATATTCTTCTGTTAATTTAATTCTCTTGTTGATTGCTGTGTCTGAAAACTTATCAATTTATTACTGCTACACAGAGCCATTTCCCAGCAAACTGACAGACTGAGTTTACTTTCTCCCACACAATGGAGTAGTTTCCTTTTAATTAGCCCCACTTGATTTTGACTTCTTGTAAATGCATTCCTATGCTGTGCAGGGTAAATTGTGCCATATTCATGGTGAATCTTTTAGCATCTTTGAACATGAAGTAATCAGGACTGAGAAGCACACCCTCCACCTGCTATTAGCAGCTATGAGGAATGAGTAGTGTTGGTTGCCATGACAGCAGCCAGATAATTAAGTGAAGCATGTGATTATTCAGGAAAATTACTTCCATGGAAGCTACTTTGTCCTATTTTTAAGGCGTGTTTTTTAAGGATTCACCTACTTCGGTAAAATTAAGATCAGCTAAACTGGCAATAACTCAATTCACATTCCAAATGGTACTTGAACCTTTTCTAGACAACAAAATAATTAATAATTGTTATAATAATACTAGCTTTTAACTAAATGAAACTGAACAAAACCCTACAGACTGTATGTGGAATGCATTCGAAGTATATGAAGTAAATTTTACGCAGAAAATAACATGGATAAACCTCATGTCTTTCATACATAAAATTTTGGTTCGTCACCAACAGTCAAAATGCCACAGATTTAACTGAACTGCTCATAAAATAACACAGGTCTCTACCACCTTGCTGTTTGTGTGTCCAGGGTGCTTTGAATGCTGCATCAAGTGTTTGGGCGGTGTTCCCTACGCTTCCTTGGTCGCCACCATCCTCTGCTTCTCCGGCGTGGCCCTCTTTTGTGGGTGCGGCCATGTAGCGCTCACCGGTACAGTCACCATCCTGGAAAACCACTTCTCCAAAACATTTAGCGATCACGCAATGCTGACTGACGTGTAAGTATGCACACGTCTCCATGTATACACAAGAGTGTCATTTCACTTAATGCTAGAGTCCATCTTCAATAATTAACAACTGACTCATGCTGTGCAAATTGCATTAATTAGCTGTCATTTAATAATTTAATGCATTTAGTTGCACCCATTTGTTGCTTATTTGCATAAATCCTTGGAATATACAGTAAGTGCAAGGTTCTAACATCTTTGCACGAATCTATAATGCCTTTTGATGTTAGTTTAGGAAACACTGGTACTTGAGCCCAGTGCTGAAGAAATCTCTGATCTCTTGTGTTTATATCCACTTTCATGAAAATTTTGCAAAGTAAGTGTTATTTCGGGAGTAAAACCCTGAATGTGAGCTCTTCTGCTGGCTTGGCATCACAGCGGACAGCTGCTTCTCCATTGCATGTTTCTCCATTGCATTCTCACATGTTCCCCCGCAGGGTGCAGCTAATGCAGTATGTTATCTACGGCATTGCCTCATTCTTCTTCCTGTATGGCATCATCCTGCTGGCCGAAGGCTTCTACACGACCAGAGCTGTCAAGGAGCTCCGCAGCGAGTTCAAGACCACAGCATGTGGCCGCTGCATCAGTGGCATGGTGTGTTGGGGCTGCCACCTTCCTTGTGCACCATCTTGCTGTGGAGATTTTCATTGACTCTTTATTCTACAAGGACCTGCATTAAAATATCAGCCAGGGCTTCATAACATCAGATCATGTCAATGAGAATGATCTTTAATGACAGTAACGATGATAATGATGATGATTATGATGAAGGACCATCTGTATCTGTTTAGTTTGTGTTCCTGACCTACATCCTGGGTGTGGCCTGGCTGGGAGTCTTTGGCTTCTCGGCGGTGCCTGTTTTTCTCTTCTACAACATGTGGTCCACCTGTGCCGCCCTGAGGTCCCCGGTAGCCAATCTGACATCCGAGGACTCCATCTGCATCGATGTGCGGCAGTATGGTGAGTGAGCCGGAATGGCGCTCAGAGGGGGTTTATGTCGAAGAAACACTGTTCATCCTCCACTCTCCATCATGGGGCTGGGCTGCTCAAGGGAAGGAAGCAAGGAACGATGGCTGAAAGGAAGGGACTTCAGCTGGGAGTGGAGCTGGGCATAAAAAAAGTGACAGGGATTGGAAAAAAAGAGCTGGTTAGGGTTAGTACAGAGGCGAATAGAAGAAAAAAAGGAGCTGGTTAGGGTTAGCAGAAGGGCAATCACACGAAAAAAAGAACAGGAAATGGGGAAGGCGAGTTATGCATAGGTATCCAAAAAAATTAGCTGTCGCAGGTTATCACAAAGGTGACCATAGGGAAAAAGAGCTGTTTATGGTTAGCACAAGGTCAATCACAAGACAAAAAGAACTGTTTAGGGTTAGCACAAGGGTAATCACAAGAAAAAAAGAACTGTTTAGGGTTAGCACAAGGGCAATCACAAGAAAAAAAAAAGTGCTGTTTCGGGTTAGCACAAGGACAATCGCATGAAAAGAGAGCTGTTTTGCAGTTAGCACAAGGGCAATCACAAGAAAAAAAGAACAGGAAATGGAGAAGGCGAGTCATGCATAAGTATCCAAGAGTGTTTCCTCTGGCGAGAGAAAAAACACAAGTCAGTCTCATTTAATGATCAGTACCAGGACAAAAGTTTAGTCTTTGAGTGGGTTTGTCACCCGACTGCAGCAGCCCACACCCATGGGTTTCTTTTGAACATATGTATCTGTACACCTGTCACTGTATCTCTTTGCATCATAAATGCCTTATGCATCTGAATAATTGTTCTTGTTAAAAGTAACTGACATCCTGAATGACAGATCTTACCCTACCTTCTATGCACTACTCTTCTTAACTCAGAACATATGCTATGAAGAATTAAGCTCTCTTTCTTGTAGGGGTTATTCCATGGACTGCAACTCCCGGGAAAGCCTGTGGAGCTACACTGAGTGACATCTGCGACACCAGTGAGGTAAGGAAAACGGAAACTTCAGCATCAGTAAATGGACATGATTAAATGTATGGCATTAAAGAATAAAATTATATAATCATTTATATGAAGGTGTAGTGCACTTTTAAATGTGCGACTGATTAAATTAATTATGATATTCGGTGATGAATGTTTTAGCAAAGGTTTTTGTGTAATTGATGATGGATAAACCAAAATATATCAAAGATGGGTGGATGATTATGGATATATCACTGTCTGGTTAAATAGCACTGCCGCAAACTGTGAAGAATCACTGTAAAAGCACAGAACTGGCGTCTATGATTCACCGGACCATCTGTCTTTTGCAGTTCTATCTCTCCTATCACCTGTACATAGTAGCCTGTGCTGGGGCAGGAGCCACTGTTATCGCCCTGGTAAGCTTATAGTGCCTTTGGATTTTGTTGCCATGGCGCAGTACTCTATGGGTTTTGGGTGCTGGGTCCTTTCTTTCTCCAGCTCATTTCCCATGCAGTTGATGTGATGTGATGTGTTTTTTTAAAACATTTTTCCGCATCATATTTACTTAGTTGTTTGCTTGTTTTATGTATTTATTTGTTTATTCATTTGATTTATCTTTTCATCTATTTATTTGTTTGTTTGTTTGTTTATTTAATAAAGGATTAACTGACTGGTGACATGAGTTAGCCAGTAGGTGCAGTTTGTGGGTATGGAAAACGGTACAATGGGTGTGCCCATGCTAACGAAGGCATGTTGCTATGATCAGCTTTGCAGAACAGGAAAGGACTGGAATTCAGCTAAATGGCTCTTTTCTTATTTAAGAATTGTAACAGCTTTCCTGGTAGATTCAGCATGTGTATCATTAATTTAGCATGCAACAGTGGCCAGTTTATTAAGTCCACCTGCAGAGAAACATTTGGTTGCAGTTGAATACATACAGTTTGTGGACATGTTGAAGAGGCTCACTTAGTGTTTGACTGGGCATTACAATACACAAGATGCCTGATGTTGCAAATTTTTTATGTAGCGTGACTGTTGATGCCAGAATGGGTGGTTCCAGCATCTCAGAAATAGCTAGCCGTCTGGGCTTTTCGCACACTGTGCTCCTAAAAGTTTACAGAGAGTGGTGTGACAAACAAACAACAAAAAACAATGGAATTTTGGTAGCAGAAAACACAAACTCCTTAACAGGAGAGCGTACAGGAAAGCTAACAGGAAGGGCAAAAGTACAAAAACCAACTCAGTACAACAGTGGTGCACAGAAAGGAATCTCTGAAGAGCCACTCATCTATGTTAGTTTCGGAGGCAAATGTATGTCCTAAATTCTACTAGCTATGTCTACCGAATGAAGTGGCTACTGAGTGTCTGTATTACTGCTGTGAGTCCCCGTGGCGGAGAGTGGAGTGGTTCCTCATTTCCTGTTGTTCTGTTTTCTTCCACCAGCTGATCTACATGATGGCCACAACCTATAACTATGCTGTTTTGAAGTTTAAAAGTCGGGAAGCCTGCTGCACTAAATTCTAATGCGCGCCCCGATCGCCTTTGTGCAGCCTACAAGGCATCCAACTGACAACGTGAACTAAAATCAGAACGTAGAAGCAAAAGTTCCGTTTCTTTTGACATAATATGTAAATATCATTTTATACACCTAACTTAGTGTCTGTATACTGGGACAGGCTCTTGTTTCAGGCCGTCGGAATGGCGGTGTGACACTTGGCTGGGGTTGTAGTCATCGTTGGGTCAAGTAGCACAAGCAGCCTCTGATGTTATCAAGGGAGCGGACAAAGCTGAAAGCCTGTCTTCCTCCTGTCACAGGCCGTGAAGCAGATCTTCGCAAAGAGTAAACTTCAGGAGATCATACAGACATATACAACGCATGCAAACACACACCCACACCCTGAGGTCACTCACAGTTAGCTGCAGAGACTCTTGAATGAAATAACTTTCTCAAGCCAAGTTGCGTATGATGTGCTCTAGGCTGTTCTTGTGGCCTGTACGAGAATATAACAATTCCAGACACTGGCAGTGATAGTGCGAACAGGCAGCAACATTAATGAAGGACTTGTGTCATGCCAGAGATGTACTCCTGCGAGATTGAGTAACTTAAAGATTCTTATATTACAGGTCATTTATCTTGTTTTTTTATAGGAAATATATGAGACCTGATTTTGTAGCTTCAATCGTCAACAATTTTGTTTTTCTTGTTTTTCTTTTTATTTCTGTAATTTTTTTATTCAAACACAATTGCCATCAAAATGTGTTTAATTTCCACATTTTTCTGTTATAACACTGAACCTGCATGCTTATATTTGATTTTTGTCTGTTCATGTCTACTTATTTCTTATTTCAATAGTATTTAATTTTTTTGTTCTTAAAATTTTAAAAATTGTAGTACTTGTCCGTTTCTACATTAAATAAACCTGCTTTGTTTACAAAGAAGAGTCAGTGATGGTCTTTCTTGTAGAGGCTCTTCTAGCCGGAGCAGATGCGCTTGGTGTTGGTGGTTCTCTCTTTCTCTATAAACCAACAGTCAGTTAAATAACCTCGCCTAATCTCCCCATGCATGCCAGGGTGAAGCCATGATGGCCCCCCTCCTATGCACCTTCAGTGCATCCTTTCCCGCTACCTCAGCTCACTGGCATAGCCTCACTTCCTCGTGGCCCGCTCTTCTCTCTGACCCACACTCTCACCATCTGCCTCGACTCACGGGCATAGCCTCGCTTTCTTGTGGCCCGCTCTGCTCTTTGACCCACGGTCTCACCGTCCGCCTCAGCCCACAGGCATAGCCTCGCTTCCTCGTGGCCCACTGCGCTCTCTGACCCACACTCTCCCCGTCCGCCTCAGCCCACAGGCATAGCCTCGCTTCCTCGTGGCCCACTGCGCTCTCTAACCCACACTCTCCCCGTCCACCTAGACCACCTCATGGCCTGCTCTGCTCTTTGACCCACGCTCTTGCTGTCCACTTTGCCCTCCCCCCTTCTCTTCCAGATCCACTTCCTCATGATCCTGTCAGCCAACTGGGCCTACCTTAAAGACGCTAGCCACATGCATGCGTACCAGGACATCAAAACCAAGGAGGAACAGGAGCTGCAAGATATCCAGTCCCGTTCAAAGGAATGCCTCAATTCCTACTCATAAAGATTTCCCAGGCCCACCCTCCCCTTTCTCTTGCCCACTCTAGGTGCCAGATGAAGACAAAACACACCTTCAGTTATGCCCAGTAACCCTAACATGCGGCACTAACACAGCCCCTAACAGCTAGTGCATCAGCATCATTTTCTGCATTAATCTGCCATGACACCGGGAAGAGCCGTAGTTTTTGTTTATATGTACATAAAATCATATGTGCGTATATATATATATATATATATATATATATATATATATATGTGTGTGTGTGTGTGTGTGTGTGTGTGTGTGTGTGTGTGTGTGTATCCTTTTTACCTTTTTAATTGTTTGGAGTACGTGTTTCAGAATGATCTTCTTCTGTTCCTATCTCTGCAATGTACCGATAAACCTTGAGACATTGCACTCTGAAGAAAGAGTTCATGCTAATGATTTGCCATGTTTTAGGAGAAGAAGCTGTTTCCTTGAAGGTTTATACTTTGTTGCACAAGAAAAGGAGCATACATTTCGATAAGTACACAAAATTAGCGCAATGTGTTTTACGTGCATGACTGTCTGTATGTATCACCTTGACTTTAAAGGGAGGGAATCGCTGTACCGAAACGAGTGTGGAGATGTGCTGTTGTCGGGGGAGCAATGCATGCATTGTATTTTGGGAAATGTAGTTTTAAGTGGTCTAGTGGAAACATCAGTTTGACAAATATTCCTGTTTTTCAAACAACCTTTAGTACATAGTGAAACATGGTATATAAATTTCTTTCCATTTGTATAAAGACTCCAGCATATGTCTGCCTGTTTAAGAAAAAGAATTATGCAATATTGATGATGAGTTTCCCTAAACGTACAATGACCTAAAATGTTGACCATTTTCAATCTACCTCAAGTTCAAATGTCAAATACTAACACTGATGAGACTTATTTGGGTGATTTAACCAGAAAAACCAGATAGGTCGAGCAGTATGTATTCATAGTATTATTTACTAAAACAGAAAAAATATTTGTAGTGCTGCATTTATATTGTTATATGCAGCTTTTACCCGAAGAAAATCCATGCTGCAAACCATATTAATTTATATTTTTATTAATATTGCTCATTTTCCATGTCTTGGAAGTTAGAGTGGAAACATGTATAGTGTTGTCTGGCTCTACAGAAAAAAAAATACTGGACAGAATAACAACAACTAAAGAAATCGGGAGGCAGTAGTGGTTCAAATTTTTTAAGTATCTCATATTCCCTTCAATTTTTTTATTTTGCATTGAAATTACAAAAATAAAGCATAGCATGAAAAAAGGCAGCATTAAGTGAACTGATTGTGATAGCAGGAATTGCATTGACAACATTTTCTGTTCTAAAACATAATGGTAATCACTGCCTTCTTCAGCTGGTTCTGAATGCTCCTTGGTCGATTATTAATGCATTCTAATCTCACCCTCACCTTGTGTAAAGGGTGTAACCTCCAAGTCTCTTTCCTTGTCATTTTTAAAATTTTGATCTACAATCAAGTATTACGTACTGCGACCATTCCCACAGCAGACTTGAGTATGTGGATCTTTTGAAAAGGTGAGATTACAGATTACAGTGAAGGTCGGTTTAGACCATGACCTCATACTTTCTGTAGTTAGATCATCCCCCAGAAGAAGCATAACTGACCAAACACAATATGAATATGTTATATGTGAAGAATTTTTTTATTTTAATATTTTTAAACACATCTAAACCTTGAAATGAAGACTTATTTTTGAACGCTGTATTTCTATGTTGCTTTAATGTATGAAGGCTTAAATTCTGATGTAAATCACTGATTTGTTTTTCTTTAAGTAGAAAATAATGTACTGGGATGTTTTGGTGTTTCTTCATTATTGCATGAAAAGATGATGATAGAGGTGATGTGTAGTCATTTGTACTGACAAAAAAATTGTAGCCATTGTTTGCCCATATTTTATTTTTTTTATTAGTTTTATTTTTATTTTATTTCTGACAACCTTTTATGTCAAATGCATTGTAGTCATAGTTTTTTTGTTTCTGTCTTCGTTTTTTTTTTTTTTTTAATAAAATTTATTAATTCTTTATAGTGCCAATTTGTAATGTTATAGTAAACTGATATTTTCTACAACTGCCAACGAGGTTTCATGTGTTTTGTTGGAGTACATAATGGCCATTTTCAGAGTGAAATAAGACCCTTCATCATTCTAGTGTGTCTTGATAAAACATATATCTGTTTTGTGAATGAACAGAAACATTTAATGTCAATGGAGCAGAACTTCTCAATTTATTTTTGTTTCTTTGATAATAGAAAATACGGTCAGCAGAATTGTGTACATGTTCCACATATGTGAAATGTTAACATACAGTGCCCACAGAAAGTCTTGGGATGCTTGCCTAATCTGGTAAAAAAAATTGCAAATTTATTTATTTATATAACAGAAGTCATTACTTTATATATTTGAAACAACAAATTTTAGGTAAAAGATTTATTTCAAGTAGTGATAAATTGAAACCCAAATTATACTTCTAAAAGAGCTGATATGAATTATAAAGTTAGTTGACAAGCATTCTCATTGGTTGATTTATAATTAGTAACACCTTTGCAGTAACATAAAACACCAAACATCACTGTTCTGTTTAGTATCCCTTTGGAAGCCAGTGGCTAGAACATAACTGATTCAGTCAAAAAAATTATGACTCTTAAAAAGAAAATGTATGTGCAGAAGATATGGACAGATATGTTAAATATTGCTTGTCTATGGACTTTTGCTGTGAAAGCAATAGATTTGCAACATTTTTACAAAATTAAGCAAGAGTCACAAGACTTTCTGTAAGCATTGTACATGAATTGATTACTTGATAAATATAGTACACAATTTCCTTTAATTTTTGGTAATTATGCACTTAAGCACTGATTTTTAATGGTTAATTCAATGGGCACTGGTCAAAGGCTAGATTAGCGAGTGTCCTCTTGAGGCTGTGAAGGATTGTAGAACAATGAAGAACTACAGGCAAACAAACAGCTTTGTATACTTAGCGTACAAATGTTCAATAAAAATGAAAATGAAATGACAATATTTCTTTGCTGAGTGTCATGCTGAGACAACATGCTGTACAGTGACGTTCTGCATGAGGGTCCTCCCATGTGGCTCCCGCACAGAGAGATGGGCAAACTTGTCCCAGTGTCATTCTGGAATGCAGCTGGTATATGAATGGATAAGGCAGCACAAAGGCTGTGTTATCCTTTCCAAAACAGAGGAGGCTAGCGGGATCCCTATATTTGGGAACTATATTCAGTAAAGGGTGTGTCAAGTTAACATGCCACCGTGGTCCTCCAGGGGGCACCAGACAGGGGGTTCTTTGAGCAGAGCTCAAGAACCGATAAGATCAATTAGCCTGAGAAATGTGCTAGCCTGCTAACTAGGAACACTGGTACTTTGTTGATGCTCCCAGTCAACGATTAACAAGGACACAAAAACTTAATATCTCAGACTATAGAAGTGGATTTCCTAATCCTGACTTTGGGAGCCTAGAATCTTGTTCCAGCCAAGGTCTTAATTAACTGGCCCGGAATGAGTCAGGACAGTCACAGCTGACTGATAAGTAAAATGCATTTTCTCAACTTATTTTTGACAAGTAAATACCAGCTAAAAAACTTGAAACTTTATTTATAATTCTGAGCAATGTCCAGTTAATTACAAAATTACAAGCAATCATTGTAGATTTTGAGGATTGCTTAATCAGACTGATTAACATGCTAAATAAGACAATCTGGCAAGAGTGGAGAGGGTATGAAATCACATACTGTATCACTGCTATACCTAGTCAAGATGGTAGGTCCTCTACTGTAAAAACATCATGTTACTTACACTCACCTAAAGGATTATTAGGAACACCTGTTCAATTTCTCATTAATGCAATTATCTAATCAACCAATCACATGGCAGTTGCTTCAATGCATTTAGGGGTGTGGTCCTGGTCAAGACAATCTCCTGAACTCCAAACTGAATGTCAGAATGGGAAAGAAATGTGATTTAAGCAATTTTGAGCGTGGCATGGTTGTTGGTGCCAGACGGGCCGGTGTGAGTATTTCACAATCTGCTCAGTTACTGGGATTTTCACGCACAACCATTTCTAGGGTTTACAAAGAATGGTGTGCAAAGGGAAAAACATCCAGTATGCGGCAGTCCTGTGGGCGAAAATGCCTTGTTGATGCTAGAGGTCAGAGGAGAATGGGCCGACTGATTCAAGCTGATAGAAGAGCAACTTTGACTGAAATAACCACTCGTTACAACCGAGGTATGCAGCAAAGCATTTGTGAAGCCACAACACGCACAACCTTGAGGCGGATGGGCTACAACAGCAGAAGACCCCACCGGGTACCACTCATCTCCACTACAAATAGGAAAAAGAGGCTACAATTTTCACGAGCTCACCAAAATTGGACAGTTGAAGACTGGAAAAATGTTGCCTGGTCTGATGAGTCTCGATTTCTGTTGAGACATTCAAATGGTAGAGTCAGAATTTGGCGTAAACAGAATGAGAACATGGATCCATCATGGCTTGTTACCACTGTGCAGGCTGCTGGTGGTGGTGTAATAGTGTGGGGGATGTTTTCTTGGCACACTTTAGGCCCCTTAGTGCCAATTGGGCATCGTTTAAATGCCACGGCCTACCTGAGCATTGTTTATGACCATGTCCATCCCTTTATGACCACCATGTACCCATCCTCTGATGGCTACTTCCAGCAGGATAATGCACCATGTCACAAAGCTCGAATCATTTCAAATTGGTTTCTTGAACATGACAATGAGTTCACTGTACTAAAATGGCCCCCACAGTCACCAGATCTCAACCCAATACAGCATCTTTGGGATGTGGTGGAACGGGAGCTTCGTGCCCTGGGTGTGCATCCCACAAATCTCCATCAACTGCAAGATGCAATCCTATCAATATGGGCCAACATTTCTAAAGAATGCTTTCAGCACCTTGTTGAATCAATGCCACGTACTGTAGAATTAAGGCAGTTCTGAAGGCGAAAGGGGGTCAAACACCGTATTAGTATGGTGTTCCTAATAATCCTTTAGGTGAGCGTATGTCAATTTTGTAATATTAATAATTAGAAAAATAGAGGATTGTGTGAGAGTGTTTGCCTGAAAGAACAAGTGAAAGAATATATAAAAGGATAGGTAGTTCAGGAAAGATATCATGCATGGTTTTGTGTGTGTGTGTGCGTGTGTGTGTGTCTGTGTGCATACATTTTTTGCGTCTCTGTGTCTGCATATCTGCGTCTCTGGGTGCCGGCATGTATGCATCTCTGTTTGTATGTGCATGTGTGCATCTGTGTGTGCGGGAAAGAAATAGTGCCTCAGCTTCAATCAAAGCAAAACGACACTTCAGACCAAGTCAGGTCAGATTGTTGCCACACCCACCGCATGATGAAACACCTTGAGATCCCGGTTTTGTGAACCCTCAGGCCGAGACATGGACTGGTCCCACCCTCCAGGAATGCCCATCTATCTGCCACAGCCAGGTGTTACATAGGTATCCCCTTAGCTTGCTCCAGCCACTCAGGTCCTCAGCAAAGAGGATCCTGCTAGCTGGATCACCCACAGGGAATCATGCCACATGGTCATACTGCTGTACCTGATGCTCCCTCACAATGCAGGTAGTGCACCTCGTTCGGGACTCCCTGAGCAACCACTTGTTAAACACAAAGCCAAACCAGCAGTATTCAAGGATTCTCCAAAGAGAAACACTACCAAAGGAGTCCAGTCTTCATCTCAGGTCACTGGATAGTGTCCATGTCTCACAGCCATACAACAAAACAGGGAGCACCAGGACTCTAAAGATTTGGACCCTCATCCTCTTACAAAGATATCCCAGACACTCAGACTTCTTGCTCAGTCTCTTGAGAGGTCCTGATCAGAGCCTCCAGTGACTCTACGACGATCACATTATCATCAGCAAATATAAGATCACTGAATCTTTCTTCACCACTAGATGCCCCACAGCCACTGTACCCCAAGACCCTGCCCAACACCCAGTCCATACAAGCATTGGACAAAGTAGGAGCAAGAGCACACGCCTGACAAACTCCAGAATCAACTGGGAAGAACGCAGAGTTTCTGCCTCCACTCTGCACAGCACTCACAGCACCAGTGTACAGGGTAACTCTGACATCCAGCAACTTCAGTGGGATCTTGCGAAGTCACAGGATGTGGAAAATTCAGGTCCAGAAAGTAAAGATTTTGTTTCAACCAACCAGTGTAGCATAAAGAGTCAGTCACAAAGTACTCTGGGGTTTCACTTTCTGGACCTGAAATTTCCACTTCTGCCCACAGGGCAGCTTGAACAACTCTTTACGAGTCGAACGCTTTATGAAAATCAACAAAGGCTACAAAGAAATTCTGCTGATATTCACATTTGTGCTCAATGAGAACCCTCAGTGCCAGGATACGGTCGATGGTAGACTTCTTAGGCACAAAACCACACTGCTCCGATCACTGGTAGGTGAGCAAGTGATCACAGATCCTATTAAGGATGACCATAGCAAGGACCTTACCTGGCACTGAGAGCAGTGTCATCCCCCTGTAGTTGCCCCAATCCAGGCGATCACCCTTCCCTTTCCGGATAGGGACTACAAGTCCCATTATTCAGTCAGTTGCGATGATGCCCGTCTCCCAAAATGAAGCAAAGATTGTCTGTAATGCCAGGAGGACAGCCTTACCACCAGCCTGGAGAAGTTCACCCTGGATACCACAGATCCCTGCGGCCTTCCCTACCCCCAGCTGAGTCACCACCAGAGGATCATCTTCAAGAACTGTGGACCCAGAGACATCCAACGTCGTAGGCGTAGGATTAGCTTTAAACAGCTGCTCAAAGTAGCCAGCCCAACGAGTCACAACTGCAATGTCATCTGTAAAGACTGTTCTATCACCCATCCTGACTGCGACTCTCCGGGGAACAGATTCAGATGTATGTAATGCTTTGATTCCTCTGTAAGCTAGATGTTGGTCGCTAGACCATAGATGGTGTGTTACTTGCTCACAGATCCCTCTAACAAACACCTCCTTGTCTGCCCTCAGAGCCCTTACAGCCATCCTTCTTAGTTTCTGGTACAGACTGGAGTTGCGATTAAGGCCTGCATGATTGGATTGTGACACCTCACTCGAGTCTATTAGCATGGATTGTTCAGTTTAGTGTGTATCCAGCTGTCAATGACCATTCCTTCTTATGCCGACTCCTGGATTGTGCAAACTAAATGAATGGGCTTGTGTGATTACAGCACTGTCTCAAGACAAACAGCTCGAGAGATAATGCATACTGGGAAAATAGAGTGCTGGTCATCGCTGTAGCCTGCATCCAGCTGAGAAGGCTTCTGTTGTTTTTCATTTGGTCCATCGTGGCTATAAATAGAGATTGCTTTTGGAGGATAAAAAAATTGCATTATTCTAATTGCATATTAAGTTTGATCATAAGAAAAAGAACCATTTGTTTATAATTTAATGAAGCATAAATGGGCTTGAGGTGATTTAATATAAAAAAAAAAACCTTACTTTGTTTGGGAAGGAGGACTAAACATTATATAAAAAACAATAGTTTGAGTCACTTGCATAGCTGGGAAGTAAACTGGAAATATGAATTGAATTGGAACTGGAGTTAAACTCAGATTATTTGGAGTTATTACACGGCTCTCTGGAATGCTTGATTCTGATTGGTCAGTTGAGACATTTGCAGGTTCGTTCTTTTCAAATAATGACCGCTCCAAAGTAATAACGCATAGCCGGTACTACTTGTATGTTTAAAATCAGTCCGCGCCAACAAAGATTATCGTTTAAAAATGTTAATTTAAAACAAATATGCCAATAAAATGTTTCAAATTTATATTCATGTCCAGTTTTTTTCCTTATGTGGCAATTAGCCGTGTATAAGCGGGATAATGTACAGGCAGCCGGTAGTTATCGCAGAAATAAGCCCCGACAGTGTGATCAGGCCCCGACGCGAAGCGGAGGGTCTTGTATCACACTGAAGGGGCTTATTTCTGCGATAACTACCGGCTGCCTGTACATTATCC